GAATGCTCACGGCCACCGCAGCCTCGACATGCTGGGCTCCAGTGATCCTTCTGTCTCAGCCTTCCAAGTAGCTGGAACTACAGGTGTGCGCTACCATGCTCGGCTATTTTATTTATTTATTTTTTGTAGAGATGAGGTCTCACCAAGTTGCCCGGGCTGGTCTCGAACCCATGGGCTCAGGCAATCCCCTCACCTCAGCCTCCCACAGTGCTGGGATTATAGGCGTGAGCCACCATGCCTGGTCATCCCATGGCTATGTTGCTTACTTTCTGAATGGAGAGACTGAGGTCAGAGAGGCTGTCACTTGCCCAATGTCATATAGCAGAACTGGCATTGGAACCCACATCTGCCGGTCCTAAACACTCAGATGAGCCAGCTTCTCAGAACCCTCCCCCATGCCCAGGAGAGGATTCCTCTGACTGGTCTGGAGGCTCATGGATGGCCATTTCTGCAGGGCAGAGTGCATCCAGAGGGGAGTGTCCCCGTCGCAGGCACAAGGGCTGGGCTCCAACCTCGTCATGGAGGTGCGTGTCTACAACTGGTTTGCCAACCGGCGCAAAGAAGAAGCCTTTTGGCACAAGCTGGCCATGAACACGTACAGCGGGCCCCCACCAGGGCCGGGTCCAGGACCTGCGCTGCCTGCCCACAGCTCGCCTGGCCTGCTCCCACCCGCCCTCTCCCCCAGCAAGGTCCATGGTGAGTGCTATGTAGGGAGAGGGGATGTGTGGTAGGCGGGAGGGCTGGGGAGGGCGGCCCCAGGGGCGCCAGCCACCCACCCCCTCTGCACTTTGGTTCGGTCCCACTGCAGTCCCCTCCTCAACACCCTGCTCCATCTACTCACTCCATCCATTGTACTCACTCCACTCATTCACGTGACTCTTTTCTACTCCATTCAATTTGGCTCCTTTCTTTTTTTTTGAGTTGATGTCTCATCACTGTGGCCCAGGCTGCCACTGCAGCCTCGACCTGCTGGACTCAGGCCAGCCTTCCGCCTCAGTCTTCCAAGTAGCTGGAACTACAGGTGCACACCACCATGATTTATTGTAGAGACGAGGTCTCACCAGGTTTCCCAGTCTGGTCTCGAACCCCTGGACTCAGGCAATCCTCTCGCCTCAGCCTCCTAAAGTGCTGGGATTGCAGGGTTGAGCCACCACGCCCCACCAATTCAGCTCCTTTCTATTCCATCCATTCCACTCACTCCACTATGTCTGCTCTGTCCACTTCACTCCTTGTCATCCCACTGCACTCTGTTCACACGACTTCATTCATCCATTTCACTCCATTTACACCACTCCGCCCACTTCATTTAGCTCCATCCTATTAGCTTCACTCTGCTCCAATCATAGTACTCCGTTTCATTCTAGTGACACTATCCGTCCACTCTACTCCATCCACCCCACCCACTCTACCCGCTCCATCTTCTCCACTCTGTGCCACTTCACCACATCTGTCCCATCCACCCCATTCCATCCACTCTGCTCCGTCCAACCAAACTTGATTCACCTTGCTTCAGTTCACACATCTCAGATCATATCAATCAATTCATTTTAGCTCAAGTAACTTCAGTTCACTTGTGTTCAACTCATCATAATCCAATTTAATTAATTCAGCTTAATTAAATGTAATTCAGTGAAATTCAGGTAACTTTGTATAGGTCCGTTCAATTTAAACCAATCTGGTTTGATTTAATTTAGCTCAATCCAATCAAGCTCAAGAGAGTTCAGTTCATTTCAAGTTCCATTTAGCTAGATTCAATTTCATTCCACTAATTCCATTTCCTTCTATTCGACTCAGTTCACTTTGGTTTAATTTCATTAGCCTCAATTCAGTTCAGTCTTTTATTGAGCACCTACTGCATGCCACATATAGCACTAGGCAATAGGAGGCATGGAGCTAATAAAATGCAACCCTGGTCTTCAAGGAACTGGGAGCAGCAGCCCAGGGCTTGGTACGTAAAGAAAGATGAGCCGGCCGGGCTCGGTGGCTCAGCCTGTAATCCCACGCTTTGGGAGGCCGAGGTGAGTGAATTGCCTGAGCCTACGGGTTCGAGACCCGCCTGGGAAACTTGGCGAGACCTCATCTCTAC